CTGACCGAACTTAAGCCAGTCTCCTTGTTCTTCAAATGAACAGCATTTCCCTCACAGAACGCGTCACCTCACCGCCAGGTCTGCCGAATGAAGGCAAGCAGCAACGTCATGGGACATTGGTCACACCCAAACGACAGCCAACAGCACGCGTGAACTCATATCCATGGCAGACAGCATCCTCCAGCATGACCTTCGTCTTTAAGGCCGTAGAGAGCTGAGGCGAAGTGAGTGGTGGTGACCGAGAGAGTAATTTTACATTCGCTTATTCTGCTATGAGATCTTCGCTAATTGGGTTATATGCATTCATAGTGGGCCTTCAATCTATTTGATTCAGTCTGAAACCAGCTACAAGATCAAATGACAATCCGGTATCTTTGTTTCACTATATGCGCCGCGCTGGATGCCTACGAGTCATCACCAGACATCGCGGAGGCACTGACGACTAAGTGTCATGGCCTGCAAATAGAGGGCAGACCGGATCATCATCATAAGTGCAGCGCACATGTGGAAGCATGAAGTTAGGATCGTAGTCAAGCTTTGACAGTATCTCCACACAAGAGCATGCCCCAGCGGGCTGCAGAGTGGAGAGACTCATCCGCCTTCCTTTTAACAGCCTCCAGTTTAGTGATCGGATGAGGCGCTCCGGCCTGTGGGGAGATCAATGTCAGAACATGACCGGTTCAACCTCTATTTTAAAAGAGGAAAGTAGGATGTAACATATTCCTCACCAGTATGTGTCCATTGGTAGGCCACACGATGAATTGCAGATTGCCACTGGAAAGACGTTGGGTGGAATCTGCCTCCCAGGTCCCACAGCAAGGAGATAATGTCAGGGTTTCCTGAGCGCGCATCAAACAAGACTAGGGCCGACCCTGATTCGCAACACACATTGCTCCTACAAAAATAGATAGAGATGCCGTTAGAATTAACATTTAACAGCCATTTTTTCAACTGGAAAATATAGTATTAATAAGAGGGTCAAACCACAGTAATGATTAGTAACTTTGGCCAGAGTCTCACCAAAACACTCGGTGAGGTTACTCCCCTTATTATTACGAAACAAAGCGCTTTTACTCTGAGCTACAGCGTGAAATATAAGCCCAAATGGAATTAAATCAATTAACTATACCTTTTGTAACAGGGCTTCCCCACATCAGATGCCCATTTGCGCAGCCAGAGCCAGAGGAGTTTTCTTTTTGATGTCACGGCATTTGGGTCGGCAAATGAATTCAAAGGACAAATGGAAAACGTTCCCAGACCTAAAAAAGCTGACTCGTGCAGAGCGGTCCTGTTTAGAGGTCTGTGATCCACGTTGGCTCTGTAGCGAAGCAAGATGTGGCCAACGTCGTACTGGTATTCGAATTGCTAAGAGGCAAAGAAGGTAGATATACAAATGGCTAATATGTTGGGTGGGCAAAAGAGATAAAACTTGCATTCAGAGCAGAGACCTGCCACTAACGAGTCTTGCCATCCATTCCTGGAGATCTGGCTACTCGGCGTCTGGAACAGGAAGTCGTGTTCTGACCCATGAACCACAGCCAGAAACAGGGCCGCGCACCCTTCGAGTACGACACTGGCTGCACCTGGAGGGAGCTGGAACAAAACAACTATAAAACTTGCCTGATAAAAAATCCAAGAGTATTACTTAGTAAACATCAGTACCTGAGAAGATAACTCTAGTATCTTTTATCCTGTCCGAGCCTCTATGCAGCGGGATCCATCCTCAGTTCATCAACATCTTGACAAGAGCCCTGGTTGCACTGCCAGTCTGTTCAAGGGGCATCCTTCATCACCTAAACATGAGACATTTCTCAGAACTAGGCAACTATCTATGAAAATGATTGACAGGTTTAAGAAACTCAGCTCACCCTCCTTGAGG